CATGGATTGAAACTCCAAAACTGTGAATGAAAATAAACCACCAACAGAGCTAAGAGACAACCTACAATGTGGGGGAAAATTTTTACCAGCTGTTCCTCAGACAAAGGTCTACTATCTAGAATATATAAAGAACTAAAAAAAAAAAAAAATCAGACTCCCCAAATATAAAGACCCAATTCAAAAATGGGCATCTGATATGAACAGATATTTCTCAAACAAGTAAAAGCAGAAAATATATATATGAAAAAATGTTCAACTCCTCCTGTTTTAGCTTCCTAGAGTTTGAATATTGATTTCCCCCCAACAACTCATGTGTTAAAGACTGGGTCCCAGGGAAGTATTATTGGGAAGCAGCGGAAGCTTTAAAAAGTGAGGCCTCACGAGAAGTCTTTAGGCTACTGGAAGCATGCCTTCGAAAGTCACTGGTCCTCTCCTACCTCTCTTTTTCTTCCTGACCATGCTGTGAGAAATTTTTACTTTATTTTCACTATCACATGCTGCCTTACCACAAGCCTGTAATAAAAGGGCTACTGTGAGCCAAGTGAACCTTTTCATTCTTTTCTTTCTCCACAATGCTAGAGATTGAACCCAGGACATTAGTGCATCCTAGGCAAGCACTCAACCACCCAGCGTAAACTTTTCTCTTCATTAGTTAATTATCTCAGTTCATGGTTATGATAGAAAGCTAACGCTGGCCTCTATACAAGGAAGGTTACAATGGGAGCCTTGGTGTCTTAGTCATTTTGTCGTTGTTGAGATACAGTACTTGACAGTCAAAATTTAAAGGAGAGGGTTAGTTTGGCTCACATTTCAGTTCATGGTCATCTGGTTCCAAAGAAGAAACAGTGAAGCAGAGGGGCATGGGTGAGGAAAAGCTGCTCCTGTGGAGCCAGGGAGGGAGATAAAACCTTTCAGGTCCTGACTCTGCGAGCAGACTCCATCTCCTAACAGCAATCCAGCAATACTGCCCCTGTAATCCAATCACCTTCCAAAGCCTTCCACCTCCGTGAGCACATGAGGCTTTGGGGGGACATCTAGACATAAACCATAACACCAGGGATGCTTTTAGATGTTTTTAGGAGCCTCTTTCGGGAAAAAAGATACAGCCCTTACTAGGTCCATGCCACTTGGGCAAGCAAACAAAAAATACTTCTGGCTGAGAACATGGTGGCCCATGCCAATAGTCCTACCTACTCAAGAGGCTGAGGTGGGAGGACCCCTTGAGTCCGGGGTTCAAGGCCTGCCTAGGCAACACAGTGTGGGAGGTAGTTCTGCTTTAAGCTAAATCACTGCCAATATTGACTAAATTGTTCCCTCTGCTTCCCTTTCCTATTCTAATGATTTGGCTGTCTCCATTGCCCAAACTCATCGGAAAATGACTGTTTTATACTCAAGTTGGCTATTCTTGGTTGTTCCAGTGCCCATATCTGGAAAGATTTGTAGTTTAATTTTCTGTGTATTCACATTTTCATGCTTCTTTTCAATGATCTTGGCCCTAAACACTTTGCTGATGTTTTTGCTACATATATCATTCATCTGAAGCTATTTAAAAACATTTCCTAGTTTTATTTCATTTCAAGAATTGTCAAACATTTGTTGTATCTTGTTCTTTCTGCATCGAATCTCTGGCTTAATCTCTTGGTAGACAAGTTATTTATGTCTATTCATAGTGCTCATACTAACACTGCTTTTTAAGTGAGTTTCTTCCCCCATTTTTCTTTGCTAATTTCAGAGTAAACTGATTGTAGGAATAATATACATCTACTTTCCAGGACAAACAAAAACTTCTGCTGGTAGATGAAATATCTTTAATCTGTTTTTCACAGTTTGCACTATCATTATTACTACTATCCTTTTACTCTCAATAAAAAATGAATTATGGGCTTCTTGGAGTCATCTTGTGACCAGAAGAATTGTCTGAAGGGTCAAGACTTAATTAAATGTCCTGGAAAATGCAGCTATGTTTGTGACTGTGTGTATATGCAAGTATTGAATATATGAATATATATTGAATATATTTGCATATTAAGAGTTCTGGGAGGATAGTTGATATAATGTACTAACAAATAATGGTGATTTAATGTATACTTGACTGGGAGAAGTAAGTTTTTATTGGCAATCAATCAAAAATTTTTTTTGGTACCAGGGATCAAACTCAGGACCTTGTGTTTGTGAGGTAGGTGGTGGAATTACTGAGCTAAGTCCCTGGCCCTCAATTAAATATTTTTATGGGAAATTTCTTTCTTTCTTTCATGCTTGGAATGGAACACAGAGCCTTGCCCATACTAGGCAAGTGCTTTACTTCTGAGCTACATCCCTAGCTCTGACAAATTAATTTTTTAAAGTTATAAAGAAACCTAGTGGATTATATAGTTAAGGTATTGGCCAATAAGTATTTATTAAAGAACCATTAGAATAGTGATGGAGAATCTTTTAGAGCTTTCAATGATAACAAACAGCCCGCTGCAGCACAAGTGCCATAGGTTTACCACCACTGCATTAGAGTTGATATGTATCTAGAATAGCATCATATGAAAACATTAGAGGGCTGGGGATTTAGCTCAGTGGTGCTGTCACCTGCCTCGCAAGTGCAAGGTCCTGAGTTCAATCCCTGGTTACCCGCCCCAAAAAAATTAGGATTTAAGAAAACATGGTCCTTAACCTCAAGGAGGAATCCATCGGTGTTTGTATAAGAGAATGTAGTCGAACTGGACACTTATTAATCTTACCTTGACTTGTCCATAGCTCTCACCCTAGGAAATATAATAAAGTACTGAAGAACATGATTTCTAGGATAAGCTTTAGGTTCAAGTTGAGGCTTCCTCAGTTACTACCTGATTATCCCTGAGCAAGTTAGTTAATCTCTCTGTTAATATGCATTATGTAACTAAGTATTTTTATTCATTACTGGATTCTTAAGGCCTTTCATTGGTTAGCATCCAGTAGGAACTTGCTACATTTTTCATTATGAATGAATGATATGTAGAAAGCAGCACATTGGCAGCCCACAGTTAATGCTCACTCGATAAGATGTTAAAAAAACAAGACAACTCCTTAACCTCATAACCTGAAGTTTGTTTAATGTTAAAATGGTCTGTATGATTTGTATTAACTACTGCACTTATTCAAAACATTTATCACACAGAAACCACTGTGCTATATATTATGTGGAGAAAGAAAAGATATATGTGCTATGATCCCTGCCTGCAAACATTTATATTTTAATGTAGGTTGAACAACATGAACAGAAATAACTATAATTATAGAGAGCACTAGAATTATATTAAACTGTATATTAAGCACCTTATAAATAATGCAAAGACTTTCAGAATTCAGAAAAGAAAGATATCACATATAGTATCACAAAGCTAAAAGCCTATATGCTTTTTATTATCACCGTGTGCGGGCAATTCTAAACAATTTGAGGACAACACACTCCAGCCTCTCCTCCTACCCTTTTTGCCTTGGTATACCACTAACTACACTTGACAGTGTTTGTGTAAGAGAGTGTGATCAAAGTGGGCATTCAACTCTTTTCACATAGCTGATCCACATTTCACACCATAGGATAGAGAGGGCTAAGCATGTCATCACGCCTATGGGAATACAAGTGCTTCTCTTTCAATGAACCAGTGTGAATACAGATGAAATGACCACAACTGTCATCTTCTCTCACTCCCATAAGCAGCTAATTGCACTTGGCTCCCTTTGGTGACTTCCTGCTGCACCCACCCACACCCAGTCTGATCAAGTCAGAGATTAGGAAGAGCAGCAAGCCATCCTGGTGGCTTTAGAAAATAATTGCACTGCAGAAAGCTGTGTGCATGTTTTGTTATACATTTACATTTGTAAAAATTAAGAATATGCAAAATATACAAGAAGACATATAAAATCACCCACTTAAAAGAAGTGATGGCAAGGACTCAAAAACTGGTTGTATAACTTGATTTAATTGAAGAAAAACCAAGAAATACATCAAAGGTATAAATCTGCGTTTCCCTGGGGTCTCAACTGAGTGATTCAGCTTTTTAAAGTGGGTCAGAAAACTGCTAATTCTGTAATGATTTTGTTCAACTGCACTCAGCTGGTAGATTTATTTCTTGCAGATCTAAAAAAAACAAGCATGTCAAGTTTGGCAAAGTTGGTGTTAACCTAACATCACATTGCTTTGTTTATCAACCGTGAGACTATATTTATTTTCTTGATTCAAACTCTGTCCTTTTAGTTGGCAAGTAGTGACTATTGTTTGTGGCTTTATTTTGAAATGTATTCTGTGTTGAACAATTCTATGGTTTAGTTCATACAGTGACTTCTATAGCCATATATATATATTTGTGTCTATATCTGTATCTAAACAGATAGAAATTCAATAGGACAGACCCACTGCAGTACAATATGAGGAAAAACATAGGAATTAATTCCATTAGTTAGCTTTTTGTTTTTTTATTGCTGTGACAAAATATAAAACACAAACAACTTAATCGAGGGAAGGTTTTGTTTTGGCTCATGACTTCAGAGGTTTCAGTCCATGGTCAGCTGGTCCTGTTGTGGGCCTATGGTGAGGCAGCACATCATGCTGGAAGGGTGAGGGTTAGAGGTGTTTCTCACCTCATGGCAGCTGCGAAGCAGAGCAGAGAGAGAGTGAGAGAGAAAGAGAGAGAGGTAGAGGAAGGGGCTGGGGACCAGGTGAACCCTTTAAGAGCACACCTATGAGCTGCTTCCTCCAACTGGGCCTCACCTTTTGATAGCCCATTCAGTGATGAATTCCTCAATAGGTTAGTGCCCTTATGATTCAGTTACAACTCTAGGCTCTCCTCTGAACATTGATGCGTTGAGAACCAAGCCCTCAAGAAATACGTCTTTGAGGGATGCTTCGTATTTAAACCATGACGCTAACACATTGGCTTCATAGGAACAGCATATGTTTAAAAATGCAAGCTATAAATTAGCATGGAAAAGTTGCTATTTTTTAGTTGGGGTAAAATGCACATAAAATTTACCACCTTAACCATGTTAAGCGTCCAATTCAGTAACATCAAGTACATTCGCAGGGTCGTACAGTCATCACCACTGTCCATCCACGCAACTCTTTCATCTTGCAAAACTCCTTTTATCGAGCAAAATCAGTGTTTGTGAAACAATATCTCCTCACTGTTTTTCTTCTCCTTACTCCATGGCAACCATTCTACTTTCTGTCCCCAGAAATTTGACTACTCCAGGGACCTCATCTGAGTAGAATCATATTTGCTCTTTTGTGACTGGTTTATTTCGTGTAGCACCACATCCTTAAGCTTCATCCACGTTGTAGCATATGTCAGAATTGTCTTGTTTTTTTTTAAGGCAAAAGACTATTTCTTTGTATCTATGTGCTGTATTTGATTTACTCATTCATCTGTTGGTAGACATTCGGGTTACTTTCACCTTTTGGCTATTGTGAATAATGCAGCTACGAACATGGGTGTGCAAATATCTCCTTGAAGCTGTGCTTTCAATTCTTTTGGGAACATTTCCAGAAAGGGGACTGCTGGATCTCATGGTAATTCTATTTTGAACATTCTGGGGAACTGTTTTTCCGTAAAAACTTCCACATTGTCTTCTATCGTGGCGAAGAAAAATGTTTAAGTCATCTGATACTGGGATGCATTTCTTCGTTCCTTCGCTCTCGTTTTTTCAACTTAACATAACTGAGGCCTTTGTATGATGACAAAGATTCTCAATGTGAAATTTATAACTAAGATAAACTTCGTTTTATGAAAGAAAGAGATCTATAAAACATACATTTTATAGGAAAAGAAGGATACAGTCACTCCTAAAACAAACGAAGGCTGGAATTCAGGGATTCAACACAATTTAATCATTGCTTTGGAGGAGTGGTACTGGGGCCACTTAACTGACTCACTAGTAAGGCCATCCCAAGACAGAGTGTATCTGAAAAAGCCAGTTGAGAAACACCTTTTCAGCTCATTCCTCTAATTCTCCTTGTTTAATTTTATGGTCTTTAAGCTGTGTTCTGATTGTAGTTTGGCTTCTCTGTCCACAAAGGGAGATTTCAGTCCTGCCAACCTCAGCATTTTGGTGTTTAAGAGCTTTTTTTTTTTAATCATAAATTAATAATTTGGATCCTGGTCAACACTGGACTTAGCCCTAATTAATGTGAATCCAATTTTAAAACATGGAATCATTCTTGATATACTGGCAAAATCAGATTTCTAAGCTTTTCAGATCATAGACCTAGGCCAGGCATATAATAAGCACTCTAAATATTGAATCTCGTTATTGGCAGGAACTTCTCCAAGATAATTTTACTGTATGAGATGTCTTGGTAGATGAAGTCTGAGGGCATAGAGCACATAGGCTGCTTTTCTCCTGAAATTGGCATAACTCTTATTTTCAAAGGACAAGCAGTGCTGGGAAGGATTTTTCTTTGTTGCTTTCTTACTTCTTTTTTTGGTGTCTGTTCCTCTGCTTCCAAGAGCCCCTCTTGCTCAGATTTTTTTTACTATGATGAGACAAAGCCAGCATCTTCCAGGTAATACCCCAAGCTCAGGCCTTCCCACAACCCAACAATTTCACTATAGCTAGTTGGAGAGATTGATACCAATGTAAACACAAGGATAATAACTGGGGATCGCATATTTGTAGGCTTTACCCTTCCTGGACATTTGATTCCTGGACTGTAGCATTTGATTGATTGGGAGAGGCTAGCAGAGATAAAAATTTTTAGTCATATAAGGCTCTTTTGATCTTGTTTGGTCTATTGTTCTCTATTGTACTTTTAAGACTTCTGGGCCTGTGACCAAAAGAGAGATTTTGCTTGCTTTTGTTTGCCTCTCCTATTCCCCCAACATGCCACTGTTTTCCAGGTGTTGGTCTTAAACTCCTGGACTCAAGTGATTCTCCTGCCCCAACCTCCCTCATAGTTGAGACTACAGGCACTTGTCACTGTGCCAAGCTGAGTTTCTGATCTTATGTGATCTCAAAGGGTTTATGAAATCTGCAAAGGTTTTATTGGGACTAGGGAAATTCTGGAGCTAAATGAAGGGTTCAGATATGGGTGAGCCATTGAATAAGTTACTTGGGGGCTGGGAGTGGGGTGGGCAGAAGAATAACATGGAATGGTCCTGATCAGAGCCTATGACAGATACTGTTTCTTCTGCAGCAAACCCAGGCTTGGCCCAGGGAAAGCAAAGCAGCTAGCCTGACTAGTTACCATTTACTTTGGTACTTTCTACCTAAGCCTTTTTCTATTATATATGATCCCAAACCAGTTGGAGGTTCAGAGAATCTCAAAATGTGGTTAAACGATTGTTAAGAGAATTTAAAAAGAAAATGCGAGTTGGACCATTTAACCAGAGAGGACTAATCACATAGCTTGTTTATTTTATGGAGGGCGGTGACCAATTATGCTCCAATCACGCTGAAGGATTTGATTAAATGTCAAGGGGCACTTTCTGAAAATGCTGGCTGCCAGACTTTGAAGTCATTTGCTGACTTTCTCAGTTCTGCGTCGCTCTTAGAAATTGGCACATTAAGCTGGAATGTGGTTTAAGTAGGACAGTTGGGTGTGGTCCTGGTTACGTACAAATATAAGTGAATGATATACAAATGAGGTTGTCATTTATAATTAACTATAGAAACAGAAAGAAATTAGTCTGTGTTAAGCCAATATCGTCTGCTTCATCGATCATTTGTAACAATCTATATAGTAACATTGATCGTTTGTGACAATCTATAGTAACAATGTTCTCAGAAAGCTCTTGCACTTAATTTAACACTTAGGGTTATGGTAACTGGGCTTCTTTGAAATGTCTAAAAACAGAGCCAGATGTCTTATTTCAACTTTGGGACATTTTCAAAGTAACAGATTTAATTTTATATCAAAGACAGCTGTAACTTCCATGGTAAAATTTACTTTTCTTTTCATCCAAATGGAATTTGACTTTAAGGCTGATTCTCAAGGACTCAAACTGGGTTGGGGACACTTATTAGAGTCTTGCGACAGATATTCCAAATTTTATCTGATCACAAATTCTGACTCTAGGAAACAAACCTTTGACAATTTCCTACAGGTAGTGGAACTTTTCTATGGTGAAGCTACCTGGAAAAAGAGTGAAAAATGAATCAGGTCCAATCATGAGTCTCACTGACTTTCCCTTCATTTTTCCTTTGAAGTTCTGTGTGATGAGGATCCTTCCTGTTCTTTAGGTGTATAAATATAGAAGCCAAGGAGAGAGAACAGAAATATTAAATGAGTAAATAGTTTGAGCAGGGTGGTAGATTAGGACAAGTTGTCTCAGTGAGCTAGCAAGATCTTGTAGAAACTCAGAAACGTGTGTTTTTCAGCTTTTCTTTTCTGGCTTTTGGTACTTCCTTTGTTTACTAGTAAATTGCCTTTTGAAAGTTACAGATGATCTTATCTTTGCTAAAGGAAACAAGGCAGAATGGGCTTTTAACTTGTCTGTGGTTTAAAGGGAGAGATGTTTATGGAGCAAGTGAGAAATGTTCTGGGTTTTTTATTTGTTTGGTATTTTTGCCAATTTCTTTTGCTTGCTTGTTTGTTTTGAGATGGGGTCTCACTATGTAATTCAGGCTGGCCTTGAAGTCACTATGTAGCCCGGGCTGGCCTCTAACTTGCTGTGATCCTCCTGCATCAGCCTCCTGAGTGGGGGGATTACAGGCGTGTACCACCATGCTTAGCTCCAACTTCTTTTTCTTGTAGAAATGAGCATCAGGCAAATCATTTAAGGTATGGAGTCACAGGGAACTGAAAACATATACAGCATCACAACATACACCTGCTCTCTCTCTCTCTCTCTCTCTCTCTCTCTCTCTCTCACACACACACACACACACACACACACACACACACTGCCTATCCCAAGAGGATAAGGCTAGCAAATTTGGTACCTTATAACTCACAGAAATTCTGTAACAAGATAAACTTTAGGTTGATCAATTTTTTCAGAATACATCTTTAGGGGGGCGGGGATGTATGTTGGTGGCTCTGCACCTGCCAGGCAAGCACAAGGTCCTGAGTTTGATCCCTGGTACTGCCTTTGGGAGTGTCCAGCAAAGTCACCTAGTAGTATTTCAAACTCAGTCTTTGTGGTATGAAATCCTGTCTCTTACTTATTTTTTAACTTCCTTTCCAACCACTCATGGTAGAGTTCGGCTTATTTTAGGAAATATGCATACAATTTTGCCATTAATGTATTCAGTATCAATTATCCTCTTGCATACAGCTCTGTGTGGGTGAATTTCAGAGTTGAGAATTCCCTTAAGAAAATGAATTCTGAGTTTTAAGTCAGCTTTGATCACTTTCCTATTGCAGCTGTCTGCCTGAGGTGAAGGAAAGCTCAAAAGAGCTGATGCCAATTTTAACTTTTGGCTTGAGTCATGCTGATTAGGTTCAGCCTTAACAAAAACAGAAGAAATAAACCCTGAAGTGTATGTGTTCGTCCTAATTTATAGTTCCCGGACAAGAAGCCTGCTTGAACTGATCTTAAAAATTCATAACTAATGCACTTTTCATTTTTGCTTCTTGAAACTCAGGTATTAGTCAGCCTAAAATTTACAACCAGGCCAACAAAATAACATGCTATTAAGATTCTTGGCAATATTTTCTTCAGCTGCCCAACCTCCCTGCCTTGCCCTATGTTTTTCCTCTCCTTGCCAGCCTGGTTTCCCTTTATTACCACAAAATACCCTCTTAGCTTCTGTGTGATGTAAAGAGCTGGCCCCTGCCTGCCTTCTGGCCCTATTTTCTTTCGTAGTCCTGTTTGTGATTAACTAACCTTCAGGTTTGTGGTAACAAAAGGTGAAGCAATTTCAAGCAGCATGTGGGAAATTTCCTTTACATGTTTTCTTTCTTTTTGATGGAAAAATTCAAAACTATTTTATGGCATACACTGGCTCAAAATTAATCAGATGTTGGAGGAGGGGGTGAAGGGAGGGCAGGGACAAGGGGAAAAAATGAGAACCAAGACCTGTCATGTAAAGGTACAAGATCCAAATAATGAATGTAAGTGTACTGTATACCTAAAATGTACCAATAAACTCAATGAAAAAAAAAATCGGG